GGCGAAAATAGCCTACGTCTCCGGCACCGCCAACCGCAACGCCAAATTTACTAAACTCACCAACAAAATACAACTAGGGTTAAACAACCCACAAATAAGGATTTCCTTAATTAAAGATTTCCTTCTAAATAGGAGAGAATAGAATAAGGTGCAATTGTAACCCAAAGACAAGGAACCTATTTATACTAAAAAGATCCTACACATCTTTGGTACACATCCGATGTGGGAGAAAACTTAATCAAAAAACTAACATATTGTACCCGTATCGGCCAATGATACGGTACAATTACACACAAAATACTGAATTTACAATTATATCGGGATCATACCATAAGTACCGGTCCAAAATACCGGGCAGTAAAAAAAATAATAAAATAAAATTTATTAATTTAAAATCATAAATTTAAATTGGTTTAGAAAGTTTTAATTTTATCTCATTGAGAAGTTGAAATAAATGATTATGGTCATTTATTTATTTATTTATTTATTTTGCATTTGGTATTATATATTTATATTTATATTTATCATATTTGTTAGTTTGGTAATGCCACCAATATTACCAATCCGACCGGTAATACTGCGTACTGCTGGCTAGACCGGTCTGACTACCGGTACGGTATTTAAACCACTGGTAACTTATGTTCTTTCCAAGGTAAAAATATGATATATAGTTATTGTTTTTTTTTCGTGAAATTGTATTTTTTATTATTTTTTTATATATTAAGATCCAATACAAATGATCATTTTATATATTTTTTTTTTTTAATAAATGGCTAAAACCCCATCCAAAACTTTTGTGAATACATGTAATTTCTTCGCATAAATGGCTCAACATTTTTGCAGATTATGTATGAGAACATGAAGATGAAAGTGGAGAATGTGGTGGAAAGAGGTAAAGTATGTGAGGAATATATTACAAGTCAAGATGAGCGAAGAGTATTGGAACAATATTGGGCCCAAGATTTTACCCGCCGTAACCACCCAACTATAATTAAGATCTTATTGGACTCCAAAAGTGATAGGGATGTTAGAGGTGAGCCCATGCCCAATCTCATCTACGTATCCAGACAAAAGAGTCCAAACAGCCCACATCATTTCAAGGCCGGAGCCCTCAACACTTTGGTAACTACCCCACTTATTTTGTCATCATCTTGGTTTTTGTATATGGCCTAAAATAATAAGTATTTGATCAATTCTTTTTCATTCATAATATTAAGGAGCATATTAGAATATATTTTTGTCTCACATCGTTTACATAGGGAAATAAATCTGATTTATAAGTCTAGTGGCTTACTTCTCTTTCGGCCAATTAATTTTGGGATGGAAAACCGCACCCGTTTTCTCCTGTTTCTTACGGAGCATTTAATTAATAAATCTTGAGAAATAAGAATGATTTTCTTATTATTTTCCCGTAATTTTTTTTTTTTTTTCGATTATATGCTGAAGCTCCGAGTTTCCGCTAGTATGACCAACTCGCCGATAATTTTGACATTGGACTGTGATATGTATTCGAATGACCCTCGGACGGTCCAAAGGGCCTTGTGTTATCTTCCAGATAAATCGGGCAGGCCCAATTGTGGGTACGTCCAATTTCCACAACGTTTTTGTGGGCTAAACAAGGCTGACATATATTCTAGCGAGCACAAGCGTTTGTTTCTATGTAACCCAATCGGCATGGATGGGCTTAATGGGCCTAGTTACGTTGGGACTGGCTGCTTTTTCCGACGTCGCATTTTCTTTGGCAGCCCATCAAAGTACATACAACCAGAAATTCCAGAGTTGGGCCCAGACTACGTTGTAGGAAAGCCTATTGATAGTGAGGAAGTTTTGAAGCTGGCCCATCGTGTTGCCGATTGCACTTATGAGGACCAAACGAAATGGGGTTCCAAGGTAATCAAATAATTTTATTTTTATTTTTAATTTGATAACTTCATTTCTTGATGTTGCAATAATTATTAAATTTGAATTTGCTGTATCGCAGCTAGGCTTTCGATATGGGTCGTTGGTGGAGGATTATTATACGGGCTATCGACTGCAATGTGAGGGCTGGCAGTCCATATTTTGTAATCCAAGCAGGCCTGCATTTTTGGGAGATGTGCCCATCTCTCTTCTTAATGTCCTGAACCAGAACAGAAGATGGTCTATTGGGCTTTTGGAGGTGGCCTTTTCCAAGTACAGCCCATTAACATTCGGCATAAAGTCTATGGGAATCTTAATGGGCCAATCTTACGCACACTACGCCTTCTGGCCCATTTGGGCATTCCCGATAATTGTCTACGCCTTCATCCCCTCACTCACCCTTCTCCATGGAGTTCCCATTTTCCCAAAGGTAAAGATAAATCATTGAGTAAGATCACATCAATTCTAATTTAACTGAAAAATATTAAGAAAAATACTCTCAATACTTCATTAAGACCACAAATAACAATATTTATGTAGTTATCTCTTGCCATTCGTAATATTTATGAAAATTGTATGTTCATCTTACTATTAGACCCACAAAAAAGAGATCATGCGATAAAAATCTCATTGTTCATGTTCGTAGTAAACTTACCATCAACGAAATATCACGTCTTTCATGTTAATGCACGGTCCGAAAAATATACTAACTCATATGTCTATTACTTAGGTGGACGAGCCTACGTTCTTATTGTATTTGTTTCTATTCGTTGGGGCCTACACGCAAGACTGTTTTGATTTCATCTTCACACAAGGCACGCTACTAACGTGGTGGAGTGACCAACGGAACTGGCTATTGAGGGGACTCTCGAGTTACCTATTCGGGTTCATAGAGTACGTGACCAACCTTCTAGGCCTGGCCACAAGTGGGTTCCACCTGACAGACAAGGTCTTGGACGACGAGCTAAGCAAAAGATATGACCAAGGAATGTTCGAGTTTGGGGTTGCGTCACCCATGTTTGTCCCACTAGCAACTGCGGCCATTATAAACCTAGTCGCCTTTGTTGGTGGGTTCTCGCGCACTTTTGTGAACGGGAGCTTTGGTACTTTTTTCGTGCAGATTTTTGTTGCAGGTTTTGGGGTCGTGAATGCTTTGCCAATATATGAGGCCATGGTTTTGAGACACGACAATGGGAGGATGCCGGGTAGGGTCACGATAACATCTGCAATTCTTGTCGGGGCTCTCTATGGGGTTGCGTCTCTTTTTGCATAATATTATGGCAATATGTTTGATCTCGCTTTTAGGAACATTCTTATCGAATGTAGTAATGTTTTTCATGTTATGTTTTTCGCACTGTCTCGACAGTGTCAACATACACTGTTGAAAAGAAACCCCGTAAATTTATGTACCGTCTCGAAAAGCTGGCAACAGCAGCCAGAGAAATTTATGTACCATCTCGAAAAGCTTGCATAAGAGCAGCCCTCTGGCTTCTTGTGAGAAAACAGAATTATGCCATAAATTATGAAGGGAGCATCCCATCATATCTGAATTGTGCAAACCAAGATACATATTTTGGTGATCTCCTTAAATATTCCCATTCACCAAACAATTACCTGATAACAATACAAATTGATAATTAAGGCAATACCCCACTTTTAACAGAAACTGAGGGTATACCACACAATTACCAGCTCTCTACAAACCCAGCCCAGCTGTCTTCCCCAGGCCATAAAAGACTGGCCGAGACAAGACCGACAGGTGGCATTCCACACACAATGCCTGAGGCTAAATTGGTCAGTATCGATGAATTATATAACTACGTGCTATGTAAATTATGGGTTTCTCTGTAACTGGAAGTTAGCTCGAGACATAGAACTCTTTTTGGAACACTAAATTCAATGTTCCTTTCAGCCTTTGCTCACATTACGGAGCATCTTTTTGCTGATCATCTTGACCAGGAAGTTCACCAAGTCTCCCCTGTACAACAAAATGTATCATGTGTGAAATTAAATTAAATTAAATAATTACAATTTAAAAGGAAAAGGGCGTGCCGAGTCTTGCACCATCCAAAACTTCTGTAGTCTGATAGAAAGAGGGAACAGTATATTATCTACTGATACAACCAAGAACCCATTGGTTTGACTCAAATTTGAGCAATACCTTCAAAGAGGAATTCTGAGCAAGAAGTTGCTCGCATTCACTCCTTATGCGAGCCACCTCTGCCCTGAGAGACGCATTTTCTTCTTTCAAAGTTTCAGCACGCTGAGCCAGTTCATCGCATTCTGCCTGAATTTCATGAAGGAGAACAAGACACAGTTAAAATATAATAGGATGCCAAATATTCATAACAAAAATAGAACGGAGAAATGGACAGTTACCTGCTTTCTCAATCTCGATCGACGAGCAGATTCCCTGTTTGACTGCTTTCTTCGTTGTCTTTTCAGCTCTCTTTCATCCTGAACTCAATTTCACATTAATAATACAGATTTAGTGAAGACTGCCCAGATCAAAATAACATAATAATTGAGAATCCAGACATTATAAAATAAGTTGCAATTTCAAGTGAATGCTAAATAAAAATCCAATATTACTGCACGAGTCCCCAACCTTTTGAACGAGTGGTAAACTGCTAATTATATCCAAATCACAACACCTCATTTTATCTTTCTTTTTTTTTTTTCTTTGGTTCTTTAATGACACAACACCTCATGTAAACATGAAGAACAGATTACTACATTCCTGAAAAGACGAGTGGGAGATGAAATAAAATCAAATAATTAATGATGCAAAGCATTGGTAAATTGGATACGGTCATTCTGGACTTTTCTTGTCACCTAACCACTTTTGCTTGAGAAATGAAACTCAGGTGAAATCTCTCGCCTCAACCAAAAGAAATTGGGATTTCCCAAATTACAACGTGCAATTTTCATGAAAGTAAAGTCATGCAAATGAGTGAGTTTAGTGGATGAAAACCAGAACTACGTTGATTTAAAATGAATCATGAATCTGCATTTCGAGGCATAATATTAAAAAACACATGTAAGAGTACCAAGGATGCTGACTATGCCATTTTATTGTGTTACAACTATTACAATCCGATGGATCTGATGGCGTAAATTCCACAGCGGAAAAAAAACATATGTGGCCTCTTAGAAACATAGTTTTAAATGGCCAATGGTGAGGCGAGGCGATTCACCCATAGCCTCGCCATGGCGGGCCTCGGCAACACAAGCCATCAAAGCTTAACACACACACACAAACACACATATATATAGTAATATCATATATTTAAGTGCAAAAAATAACCTTAAATATCCTCAAAGAAAATAATACAAATTAAATTTAGTTGTAATAACTAAAAGCATCTAAAACTTAAATGCGAATACTAGTAACACTACAAAGAAAAAAGATTGAATTCACACTGTGTAGTAACATAAAATAGAAAAATGTCAAAGAAAGTAAATAAAAAGTGTAGAGTAAAAGTAAACGAAAGAAAAGATGTTGCAGCCTTTCACCTATGACTATTGACCATACTAGTCATAAATAAAGTAAAAAAAAATATGAAGAAAGATGATAAATAGAGACGGCAGAAATGGGAACGGGAAAACAGAGAAAAGGGAGAAGAAAAAGAAAGGAAAAGGCACACATCACCGACCATCTTGGCGGTGGCGAGATGGTGGCCGGAGTTCAGAGGAGGCCGGAAATGGGATGAGTCTGCCGTGGGTTTCTGCAATTTTCAAATTTGAGAAGCCTAGGGAGTTGCTTCACAGAAACCCTAGTTTGGGGAGAAGCCATTTAGGGATTTTTCATTGAAGTTTTTTTGCTTCCGTATTCTCAGTCTGAAAACCTAGTTTTCAGTTCATGGGTCTGGAGATGAAGTGAAGAAAGAGCCCAAGGTTTTCAGTTCATGGGTCTGGAGATGAAGTGGAGAAAGAGCCCGACCTGTTCTAGTTTTATTCTCTTTCCAATAAGTGTTACAAGCTTTTCTTTTCTTTTTTTTTTAAAATGGACTGCGCTTTAATTCTTCTGAAAGGCGTCGAGGCGCACCTCACAGGCGCCTCTCGCCACGCGAAAAGGCGAGCTGCGGCAACCTGAAGCGAGCGCCTCGGGAACAGGGTCGCCTCACGTAGTAGCGACCCACTATCAGTAAACCAAGACAAAGTAAATAACAACTCGACTGCGGTAGCATAACAAGCATCCAATTTCTTGTGAAGCCTAAAAAAAGGGGAGACACTACTAGGTTAGGATAAAGAAACGGAAGGGAAACCTGAACCCAGAGCTGTGACTGGATGCTGTCTCGTGATCCAGTGGTGACCATTCCTCCTGCCACTGGTGCAACAGACACCTTACCCCTCATTGCAGGAATTGAAGATGAAGGGGTGGCGCCCCAATAATCCATTCCGATATTTAAGTTAGTAGTGGGCCCAGGAACACCACTCACTGCACCCACTGCTGAAATTGGTACCAATGCTTGATTTACCATTGATTTACCATTTTGAAAACTGCTGCCGTTCTGAGATGGTTCTGTAGTAGGAAGACATCATAACATGTCAGAAAATAAATATGGATTCATTTAAGGCATAACGAGTACAAATCAGAGACACACACCTGAATCTGGCTGGCCACCAGACTTCAATTGTGAACCCTGTAGTATGTATAACAAAGTTAAGAAGGGACAAGCAGAACGATAACGTAAGTGAAAATTTTTAATTTAGCAGGAAAGCTGAAAATCACATAAAGTAATAACTAGGAAACAGCACATGTTAGTACAACATTTTCAAAAGCCAAACTGTTATTATTGAATAGTCCATTCGACCAGCTTCTATATTCTGTAAAGAGTGTTTTCAGAAAAAATGAATTACTTCTTTCATGTCTGCATTGGGAAAATCTTGATATGAAGTGTCCTAATTCCTAAATTCAAGTCGACATCACGGCAGAACAAAAAACCACAGTGACATTACGAATCTTTTATGGCCATTATTCATAAATCATTTCTAATAGAAAAATGACCTGTTATCCAAAAATGAACTTTGGTGATCAGAGAAAAAAA